GAGATTTTGATTTTTCACATGCTTAAATATTTTTTATAAATCGGATATTGATGTCATTCTTAATTATACCATGCTATGGTCCATATAGACATATTTTAAAAATTTCTGTATTTACACCAAAAATTGTGTTTGAACCGGATAATGTGATTGGAATCAAGTTGATAGGTTGTATCGTTGTCGAGAAATCGTTAAAAACGTACCGCGTAAATTGCGACTCAGCGGCACTAACCGTGTAAAAAAAAAACGCGTTAAAAAAGACTTCAGTGTATATAGAATAAATACTAAGAATGATACCAAGGTATTACAGGGCTAGCGACAAAGGAGTTTTTACTACAACTCCAATGCGATTGTTAAAAGATTCCTTTGTTTATGGATTTCTCAGTCCAAACGTTCAGTTTTGCATTGCCCGACGTTTCTCTATTTTATGATGGCCTCTTTTAGTGCTAAAACAGTCTACCGACATACAGGCAACCTAATAAGTTACTAATATGACTGATCTACACGGTAGCTTCTTGAAAAAAAAAAAAATGTTAGAAGAATTTCAAAGTGATGGTGACAGGGGAAATTTATGGATAGCTCTGAGTAAAATTTGTAGGTGGTTCTGCGGGAGATTCCATGATAATTGTGAGGAAGATTTCTGGTAAAATTTTAATGAATACTCCAAATAAGTTCTGACAAAAATTCCAAGAGAGGTTTCACTGAAATTTCGAGAAGTACTTTGAGGTTCTGTAGTACTCTGAGGGGGCGACTCCGGCGTTGTGGTGAGAATACATACCTCTCACAGTCACAAGTCACGAGTTCAAATCTCACCCCCAGACAAGTCACGAATGACCCAAGAGCGTTAAAGTAACTATAATTTAAAAAATGAAGTACTCTAAGGTTATTGAATTTTAAGGATATTAACAAGTTGGTTTATCAGAGAATTCCAAGAAAATTCGGCGAGGAATATCAAGGGAATCATATTTGATAATACAATTACCAATGACTTCTGAGAAGAGATAACATTCAATGAGTATCTTAGGGTGAACTGCATAATTTTCTTTGAAAGTATACTACAGGGGAATATCTGAGAGATTCTCATGTTCATATTAGGATAATTATGAAGAAAATAAAACTCTCTAAAAAGGGACCCCCGTAACGTGAATAGATCATCTTATCGTGGTATGTTACGGGATGTAAAATCTACCATCGATCCCTAGATCCCTACTCCAAATTAAATAGGGTAACAGAATTTTTCAGTAATCGAAAGATTACATCTTAGTCCTTGTTACTTGTTATGCCTTGTTAATAGTGATAAGTCCTCGGGTTGCATCACTAAGGATGATCTTGAAACTAAGAAAAAATGGGTTAGTCTTCATCTATGTGATTCCTAATCTTCTATTTGTTGTTCCCTAGTTTGAAGTTGTTAATACTAGAGGTCATTATCGGTGTCATTGCTTAATTTTGTTGCTAAGGAATCCAATTTTGACTGACATAGGAGTGCGCCTTTGGAGGGTGCCCTCACTCTTCGAAGAGTATAAATGGCGGGTGTTTTCAATTAGAATCGATAACTTGCGATGAAGTCCAGAATGACAACTGTATCAAAACCGAATACTTCATCGTTTCTCAATAGTGATTCGACATGCACTAAACTAAGGACACGAGAGGGACATACTAAAATAGATAAAATTACTGGTCGCAATGGTTTAATGTCCCGAAAAGAGGAAACCTAAGAGGGATGATTCAATAGAAATGTCACCCCCCTGGTGAGAAATGTTGAAAGGGGTTATTTTTTTTTCTGAATATCCCAAGTAACCTTCAAGCCCGCTAGCTTTATATTGGTTGTATATTGACCTTATATCGCATAAAGGGCTATTAACTGGTTTGTTGGTTACTTGGGATATGCTCCCTTTGTCCATTTTGCTCTTTTTAAGATGATTTTATTGATCTTTTGGGTTATAATGGGTGTCCCACATCAAATTGCATCATGGAAAAAACGCTGTAGAAAATGACCTAGTTGACCGATCCTTTTCAAACTTTCAGACAATAAAATATAACCCATTAGTAAGCTTTTGGCATATTTATTTCATTCAACTTCAATGCCATAACTGTACTTCGCACCTTACGCTTAAATCCACTCGTTAGGTTCTGTACAACATCTGACTGCAGCTTCTTCTGTACGGAATCCCACTTTTTCTTCATATCTTCCTCAGATTTGACCTCCTTGGCATGCTTCCGTAGTGCCTGCTTCACAATAGCCCAGTATTTTTCGATAGGTCTTAGTTCCGGTGCGTTTGGGGGGGGGTTCATGTCCTTGGGTACGAAAGTGACCCCGTTGGCTTCGTACCGTTCCAGGACAACATTTGAATAGTGGCACGAAGCTAGATCCAGCCAGAAGATCTTAGGGCCCTCGTGTTGCTTCAACGCTTCTGTAGACACCCCTTGAGGTAGATCTGACCGTTTACAGTCCCGGTAGTCACGAACGGTGCACTCCGTTTGCCACATGAGCAGATCGCTTGCCAAATTATGTATTTCTTGGCAAACTTTGAATGTTTCTGCTTCCTTACTTCCTCCGGAACATCAAACTTGTGCTGGGCGGTGAAGAACAGTAGCCCCGGAAGCTGCCGGAAGTTAACCTTGACGTAAGTCTCATCATCCATGATGAGGAAGTGAGGCTTCGTCAGCATCTGGGTGTACAGTTTCCAAGCCCGTGACTTTCCCACCGTATTTTGCTGGTCGTCACGATTTGGAGCCTTCTGCACTTTGTACGTATGCAGTCCCTCCTGGTCCTTGGCTCTCTAAACGAACGACTTGGACAGATTCAACTTTTTGGCCACATCCCTGACCGAAGTATTCGGATTCCGATAAAACGCTTTCACGACACGCTTGTGATCCTGATCACTAATAGAACATCCATTCTGACCGCATTTCTCCTTCCGTTCGATGCTCAGAGTTTCGTAGTAACGTTTAATCACACGACTTACCGTTGACTGCACGATTCCGAGTTGTTTTCCGATGCCCCGATGAGAGAGTTGAGGATTTTCCAGGTAATTGCGCAGAATCAATTCGCAACGTTGTTTTTCGGGTGATGCCATTTTTTTTTCAACTTTCGAAAAACTGACAGCGATAAAAATACAGTGTAAACAATACACTCTAAACTAATTTTACCCAAATTTGCAAGAGAAAATACCTAATGGGTAATCTTGCACAGCGTTTTTTTTTTTCCTTGATGCTATTTGATGTGGGACACCCTTTAGCTCAATTTTTTTAAATTGACCAGAACGGGAAAAAAAAACCTGGATTTTTAAAATGGAAGTTCAGTTAAGATGGTTTAGATCTTGATATGAGCATTATTGTCAAGTTGTAGAATCTCAAATAATTCTTTAGTTCAGGTTTTTACCATTAATCCCAAGTCAAGGATATCGAAATTTCTTCTAAAGCTTAGATCAAGCCAGGCATGAACAATCATTTACATTCATTTCGTACATTCATTTGTCTCTAACTTTTTTATGAAAAGAATTCCGTAAAATTGTGTATGAAGTTTTTGTAGGCTTTGATGTAAGCTACAACTTTTGTATGAAACTGCAAAAGAGATATAGATTTGAGTTACTGATAAAAATTGTAGAACATAGCAAAACCTACATGAGCTTTAAACATTATTTTACGGAATTCTGCTAATGAAAAAATCTAGAGGTAGTTAGTTGTAAATGAATGCACGTTAGACTGATGCAAAATTTGACTTTTTCGCTCCACAGTGCTTAAATGGTTTCAAATCGGGTCCTGATTTGCCTCCCAAAGTTACAACTCATTTGGTTAGAAACAGACTTCGCACAAGCCATTTGAAGTTTACATGTAAATTACTATGGGAAATCTCAACTTTTTGTTCAGTGCCTTCTAGTCTGTTTTCCATATTAAGCTGCGAAACAGTTCAATAGCTATTCTTATAGAAAATTTTCTCAGCTTCAACTTTACTGAAGATCGTTTCTATGTAAAACGAGACTGGAAAAAGTTATTAATTATTTAAGAGATTGGTAAACTTATGACATGATCAAGCAGCTAGAACGTAGGCAACACTGTATTTTGCAGTGTGACATAATAGCCATGATTTTTGTGTCCTATTCAACGCCCCAGAAACACCAATGTTGCCTGCTGAGCAGTTGATTGAGCATGATCATAAGACATCAGCGCATTGAACCATTGATAACTTTCGATCCTTGCATTTAATCAAAAAGTGGTCTTCAGCAAAGTTGTACAACTGAAATTTTTTTAAGCAGACCGATATGGTGAATTATTAGATAGACATGAACAAAAATCTTGGTTTTACCATACTAATTCCCATACAAACTTCAAATGGTTTGTGCCATCTCAGTTTCTCACCAAATGGGTTCAAATTTTGAGAGGTTAGTCAGGATCCGATTTGGAATCTTTTAAATATTGTGGAGCGAATATTTCAAATTTTGCATCACTCTAATGCACGTGCATTTCACCAAAATGTGCAGTATATTGGGATTTTATCTAAATTTATATTTTTCCCATTCACAAATGGATAATGCCTACCTACATGGGGACTGGCTCGGTGTAGTGGTTAGCATCCATACCTCTTTCGCTAAAGGTGACTAGTTCAAGTCTCATCTCTGGAGAAGTTACGAATGACCTGAAATGTGTTAAAGTGACCATGATTGAAAAAAAAAATACTTACATGTTAACTCATTTCACATCAATTACAAATTATAATTTTTTGGAAAATTTAAACTGCGCAGAATTGGGCCGTAGATGCCCTGAATTATGGCACTTTACGGTAACTAGATTGGCGAAAAGTACATTCTACTAATGCACTGAAAGTTTTGTATTTTATGACTGCATTATGAACTGAACCCATCACTCCAATCTTTAGTCGTTAACCCTGACACTCGTCTTAGTATTAATACTGTTAGGCTCAATAGCTTCAGAACCGATTATGAACCTATTCAATCGAACATCTATTTACCCGTAACTAAACCGCTTCCCCTCCTCCCATCCAGGTGCGCCAGCCCACGCAAGTGCCTATCTCGCTGGTACGAAACGACGGTATCATCTACGCCACCGGATTGACCTTCACGTATACGCCGGAACCGGGCCCACGGCAGCCCTGCTCAAGTGCAGAGGACGTTCTGCGACGGAACAACAGTGCAAATAACAATAGCAACAACAACAACAGCAACACTGGCAGCGGTACTACAGCGGCGGTTGCCGGGCCCGTTTCCGCCGGATCACTACCGCCGATCTCGGATGTGACCTGGAGCACGCATGGTGGTGGAATTCCGTAAGATAATCCGTAAATAGCTTTCCAAGTAACAAGAGGAGGGTAACAACCTATTTATTGTTTTATACTTTTGGTCGAGTCGAGATCCGGTTCGGATGTGCGAATTACCTATCTTATACATATTTGCTAATTTATATACAGTATTTTTACGAACACATACACGCGAACATACCGAATGAGTAACACAAAACAGTGAGTAATCTCAAATTTTTTATTCCTAAAAAAAAAACTACTAAAGTCGCGAATGCAAGAAGGAAAGTGTAGGCCAATGAACAAATTTCTATATATTGAATGTGTGCACGTGCAGGAAAATAAACAAACACGTTCAAGTATATTTTTCCTAAGAATTTTTCTCTCGCTCAACCGGAGAAAAAAACCTGTAGACTATCATTACCTACTCTATTTTTAAAGGGAAGTCGTATTTTGACAGAAATTTTTTGTAAGAGAATTACTATTTTTAAGATGAGAGATTACGTGATTGATCACACAGACAGACATTGAAAACAAGTGATATATGCAGGTTTTAAAGAATAAAATGAGAAAAAAACAAAGTATTTAAAATTAAAGCCGTCGGAAACAAAGTGACTATTATTTTTTGTTTGAGAAGGAACAATCTGACAACGAACATTTTTTCTATAAAGGTAGCGCAACTATACTAAGAAAGACACACTTTTACCGTTCAGATAATTGTTCTTTTTAAGATTAAAGAAAAAAGACAACCAACCGAGAAAAAAAAGTCTAAGCATTTTAAACTGGGAATAAAATTGCCAAAGAAGTAGACAACAGCTATTTTTTATGTGCACCGAAAGAATTTTTCTGTTTTGTGACATCTATCAACCTCCTAGCCTAGCCATCGCACTTTTAGTTCATTCTTTTCATCCATCTAGGTAAAACTCTGTTAGAACGTTTTACAATCGCTGAAAGTCGTCGTATCGTCGGTTATGAAAGAGTGAGGCAATTTGCAATCAAGCGAGGCAGGTGTCGGGCAAGGTTCAGGTTGTTCTTTTTCCATTCGTGATCTCAATAACGATTTTCCCATCATTGTAACGATGATATTGCATTTCTTATTAGCCGAGCTGCGCTGGTGCTGTTTTACTGCCGCGTTATTGTTTTCGATATTTCAGTGTGCTTCTTGTGTTGTGTTCAGCCTTGCTTCTGCTTCTGTTCTGACGCTGATTAGTGTTTCGTTATTGGAAGATGTATATTAGTTAATTACGCAAAACTGCTTAGCGCATCAGGTAATGATGTAAGTATTAAGGTTTCCCTTAAAGGCTACCGACAACAGTAATGTTTTTTTAAATCGCACGTAAGGCTAGTCAATCATGTAGTACCGAAATACGTTGGTTTAATTTCCTAATAAATATCCTAATAATAATAATGCAATGATTTAGAAAAGCTAGGGTTGGTTTGGTTTGGTTGAAGAATTTGTAGTATTGTTAGATGATTCTTTGGGGGGAAAGTTACAAATAGTTTCGAACTGACTGAGGCACTATAGCGAATTGGGGAAGTTTGGATCCTCGTTCGGGACATTAGTTGGTGAAGCTAGAAGAAATGTAAGGTGGGGCAAGATGGATCACGGGCATGATGGATCAGCTAGTACATTTATTAATTTGATTGTATGCATTGAGCTTGTTGATGTTGAAATCAAGTAGATGACCCATTTACCCCGTTTCCTATCTTTCCCATACTTATCCTATGGTGAACTAGAGGGAAATAAACCGTGTACTGCTCGGGGAAGCACGAAGCTATCCCAGAAAAATGTACACAGAGAACTCCCGGAGACGGTCTTGGGTTTTTTTTTCTAAGTTGCCCTTAAAATTTTCTCAACCCCAATTCTGTCTATAATCAGATATCTGTTCCATATGTATAAAGCTTCTATAATAATAATTGCGATCGATGTTATGAACTGGATCGTGTCGCATGATTGTTTTAAAAATGCTAGTAAATTCACATGAGTGTTATGCCGCGGATACACTTGTATGCTAAACTATGAGCATCCTTATTTGTATAATAAAACTCAGGCCCATGGTATACATTTTATATAGTTTGTATAGTGCTCATAATTATTATACAAATAATGCAGATGCTCAAAGTATGTCACCCAAGCACAACTTTTTAAAATCAATTTCATCAAAGCTTGCTTATTTTATTATTCCTATCACAGGGCTGGTAGCAGGTCACTTTTTAGTGGCTAGGTCACCATTTTCATGTCAGTCACTAAAAAGTTACTGTTTTCACCTTAAAGTCACTAAAGTCGCTATTTATTAAAAATTTAGTCACCAAAGTTACTTTTTTACAAACAACGGTGAGAATAAAGAATTTGCCTTTAAAAAATCACATCAGCTTGAGCTTGAGCTTGCTTGAGCTTGATTGACCGCCCACGGTTGCTACTCTGTTACTGCCAGATCAGCTGTAATTACACAAAGAACCAATAGACGATGCTTGGGACTAGCAATCATCCTCAATGTGTAAAAACTGGTGATCTTAAATTAGGCAATACCAGCGCCGGCCGCGCCCGAACACAGGTCAAGAAAGGAATGGGAAGGATTGTGTTGACATGATACTCGCTTTGATGGAAGCCGAGAACACCTCTGCACTTCCACGAGGAATCACTGGGATGTTGGATAAGAGGGTTCGTTTTGGTAAACGATAAGCTGAATTGATGTCCTAACGATCATATAACGTGAAGGAGCTTGGGACTAAACCCACGGTCTTCTGCTCAGTAAGCAAAAACGTTTGCCACTAGGCAGACGAGCACCTTTTTAATCACCGAGTTGCTGTTATTACCATGTAGTCATATTAATAAATAAAACGATTGATGAATCTTGAATGTGGATGGGCCTGAGATTAGACTCATGATGTTCTGCTCAGTAAGCAAAAACGGTTGCTCTAAGGCCACCGAGCCCCTCATATCACATAATACCGTTGCTCAAATTTGTGTATCCATTCAAACCCGGAACCAACGACAACAACGAGTTTTGCAAAATACACGATACACAAGCGATTTTACCATAAATCTCTTTGATATGTTAGGACCTGGGACCGCGTTTTTCTGCTCAGTAAGCAGACCACTGTAACCGAAGATCTTTCAAATCCGAAAACTAAAAACTACGAAAAAGTACTCAGGCCTTCTTTAAGTTCCACTTTCACGCGACGTTCAATGACAGGGTCCTATCCAGGATTACATCTGAAAAATCCAAATCTGGTCAACGCCCACCCTAAACCTAAACCTGTTCTAATCCACCTGAACTGACTAACGAATGGAAGACTTTGACTACCCAGACATGCAATAGTCTCATTTCGTGCCTTATGGCAACTTGATGATTCTATTGCGCTCATCTTTTGGCACCACCCAGGGGAGACTTGGTCCTGTACCCAATGCTTAACTTATCTCCATTCCACTCAGCTACTCGCAATTTCTTGTGATATAGTGGGTGGAATATTATTATATGAGACAATTCAATGCAGACGTCTTTCCAAATTTGGCAGATCGACAGGTAATCGGTGAGTTACCACTATAGTTACTATTCAACAACTCGACAACGTCCCATCGTCAACGCCTGCTATGAGAATTTCCCATTGCAGACGCCAACGAAATGACGTCATCGAGCTATCGACCAACTACCCTGGTTATCGCCTGGTACCTTATAGCACGATGCTAGGAGGCGAACCGGAAGAATCGATGAGCTACCTCTCCCCCCCTTTAAAAAATCACATCAAATTACAACTTTATTTGGTAACACATTTGTGTTCGAAACATTCAGTAAGCGTGTAAAGTCTGACAAATTATGATTAAGTACTTAACCATTCTTCTTCAAACGAATACATTGTTGGAATCCTTAACCAACCAAATTTCCGAGTTCTTTCCCTGTTCCGGTTCAATTTGTATCGGATCGCAATATTGCACATCGCTGTACCACTCACTCAAATTGATACGGGATTTTCTCCAAGAAATCGTTCGGATACACCACAAAAAAAAACGATACGATGAGAATTCAAGTGCAAACGTGACGGAGTACGTAGCTCAACTGATGTATTTACTCATGCTACTATTTAAACTATCTACAAATTGTTATGCTGCACTGGTTTGACAGTGGGTGTGTTGCAGCTTTCAACTGCTGTTACAATACGTGCGATGCGCGAGGTACAGTGGCAGTAATTATTAATATACAGAATTTCATTTCAATTTGATTCTCGTTGGTCACCAACGGTCGAACTTATATGGTGTCTTGTACGGCGGATGTTGATAGACGGGTTCTGATAGGTGGTTCCGATTGGTATAGGTTTTCACGACAGGCTCTCTCACAGCTTCCGGAATAAGAATGTCTCGGAGACGAGCCAGCCAACGGCTGAAAGTCTCCTTAATAAAGATATAAAAAAAAAAAAATAAATAAGAATGTCTACCAAGATTGTGCAGGGCGGTGTGCTATAAAGGATGAACATCTGTACGCGAATTGTTGGATAAGATAATGAAAGAACGATAATTAACTTGCGTCAAGTCCGAGCCATGTGGGACAGACGGGAATTTTCCTCAATTTAACGTCGGTCTCTGTTCCGCAATCTAGTGCCAATCACCGACGGACATCGATTACCATCCATTGATGGCAATCGAATGTGCAGGAAGGCAGCTTCCACCTGCGTAGGATATCGCACCCATTCAATTCAACACATATGGGCCGGGACCAACGGTTTCGATAAAAATTCTAAACTCAATTTGTAGGCTTTTATACTTCGTGTTCTTGAATGTTTTCTAAGCCTAATATGTCGAAAAATGTCTAGGAAAATTTTCAAGCTCTCGAATTTTTTTTCAAAGGCCAGGAATCTCATATCTCAGAATCTTGAGTTCCTTTTTAAGACCATTAAATTAATTGTATTGTATTTTTTGCGGACTTCTAATCCGGAATCCACAAATTTCCAAGTCCATGTTTAAGAATAGAAAATTCTATGTCTTAGGTCATGAAATGTTTTCAATGTTTTAGAAGCATTTTTTTAAAGACCTGTATATCCATGTGTTCAGGGCTGGTAGCAGGTCACTTTTTAGTGACTTGGTCACTATTTTGAAGTCAGTCACTAAAAAGTCACTTTTTCACAAAATGTTTAAATTGAGTACTTGGCACTAAGAGAGTCTACAGAAGTTTTAGCAAAATATACATATCTGTTAAAAAATTGCAAATTTTAACCAGAGTAACCAGTGAACCGCAAAACGTTAGAACAACAGGAAAACTATTGAGAAATGCCTTCAATTTCGATTTAAAAGAGAATTTTAAAGGATTCTAGGGCAGACACCAAGATATATCTGAGAAGAATACCAAAGTACAGACTACGAAAGTCTCATGTAAAATTAACTGTTCTGATGACCGATTTCTTCATATTCGCTTAAATCTTAAGCCAGGTTTACCTATATAGTAAAACTTGGCTTAACACATAAGGGCGTCGCTTTTGATTACTTTTTAAATTAATAGAGACTCAAAATTCAGCTCCGAAATAATTTTGGAAATAATTCTAATGTAATTGAGAGTGCATTTTAACGAGAGTTCTGAGAAGAGTTCTATGATGATTGGATGAGGATTCTAGGTCTAATTATAATAAGAATTCAAAATGAGTTCTGAAATGGCTCTGATGAAAATTCCATGAAAATCCCGTGAACTCCAAAGATGGTCTCTGCGGATAGTTCTAAAAGAATTCTGGGGTGATTTCTGATGATACTTTCAAGAGAATTCTAAAGAGTTCGAAATAAATTCCGAGAAGAATTCAAATGGAATCGAATTTTGAGGAAGGAATTC